ACGCACGACCACCCGGACGGGCAAGAGAAAATATAATACTTTTAGGCAAAAATCGTTGTTAATGATATTTTAACAAGGCAATAAGAAAGATAAATAATGGGTAATTCCCCATTTTTTTCTTGCATTATGACGCCAGCGCGTGCGCCATTATTTAAATTTATGAATAAAAAAAAAAAATTTATACAATTTTTATCGAAACAAATTTATGGACATTTTTAAATGAATTTTCTTTAACTTCAAATTTTATTTAGCCAAATTATTATTATTTAGCAGAATATACAAATTTTTTATTAAATAAAAATTTTGTATTTATAAAATTTGTATTAAACTGAATTTTTATTTAGCAGAAATTTTAATTTGACGCTTTTACTTTAAATTTTCGTTCAACTAAATTAGATTTACCTTTAAAATTTACAATTCGAATAAAAAATTATATTAAACAAATTTTTATTTAGCGAAGTAATTGTCATTTTGTTGATTTTTTATTTAGCCGAATTTTTCTTAACAGTAGTTAACTAAATTTTTATTTAATCTTTCAATTTGAGCAAATGAAATTTTGGTAAAATGGAAATCTGTTCTATTATAGAAATTCGGTTAAATAGAAATTCAGTAAAAATGAAATTTGGTTAAATAAAATTTGGTTAAATAAAGTTTGGTTAAATAAAAAAAAATTATAAATATTGAGCTAAGTTCACACGTATACATAAAGAGATAATTATTTTATTAGCCTTTTTTTGGGGGGGGGGGCAATTTGCAAAAGGTAACATGTTGAAAAGGGCCTAATATATATCTTTATGTATTTGAATTGGAGATAACTGGGATTGTATCAAGATTCGCGTTTGATCTTAAAATCGGTTCGACGAGTCTATTGTGAATTGTATCTGGTTCCTTTACGCCTCGTTCCATATCGCTCACCCCCCCTCCCTTGCCCCTTCTGTGACGCATATCCTCCTCTTTTGCAGATTTAATGTCTCCTATTGTAGACGATGCTGTGCATGCCTTTCTCCCAACTCGACGGTTCACGATATGACAATTACAGCCAGGTTATCACTCCCTTTATCATCTTTCTTTACTCCATTCCCATCAAAAGAAATTTCTTTCCTGTCACAATTTTAACTTTTTTTTTTTATTTTTTTGCTAAATAAAAATCCTCGCGTATGTGCAATTTTTTATTTTTACAAATTCTCACACTCGTCATTTAATTTTCTTTTTTTTTATTATTTATTTTGTTAATAAAATTAAATATTTGTCATAATTTAATTATTTTTTTTTATTAATTTGATGGTATTGTAATTTTTTGCAAAAAAAAAAATAGTGTGAAAATTTTACTGACTTCTATATATATATTATATATATGACGAATGAGAGGATGAGACAGAGACAGGGATTTCCCCTTAAATAGACTAGACGCCTGTAAATTTTTCATGGACAAGTTTGGGAATGTTAAAATCTGGATAATACCAGAAAAGAGAATCTTATTTTCCAAAAAAAAGGTTCTTTGGTTTCACACAATCTTTTTTGCGAATCTAAAGCTACAACTTAATAATCCCATCTCAATAAAAGGACGCTTGTCAAAATAACTGAAGCTGATTATATAATTGAGGTCGTTAATTAAAATATTGTAATGTAAATTATTATATTTTGAAAATCTGTGTTGACAAAATTTATTTTCCGGGATTTTCCCCCTCTTGTAAATATATATATATATATATATATATATATATATATATACGCGGCTATATGTATTATTTTGTTTTCGTGGCACTTATATATTTAATCGCTATACTAGAAAGAAATTAATAGATAATGTCAATATATAATATATATGTATATAAATTTGTTATTGTATTTTAATTTTTGACTTCAAATTTTCGAAATTTATTTTTTTTTGCCTTTATTAAAAATTAATTTCCCAAAAAAAAATAGATCTAACTTACAATTTTCATATTAAATGATAAACAATGAAGATAAAACGAAAGAAATTTCAGTATTATAATTAAAAAAAAAACAAAAAATTATTTTTTCAAATTTACAATTTATATACAGTCCTAGTTAACAAATTATTTGTCAATTATTTTAATATGAAATCTAGAATTTAATACAAATCTTAATTAATTTTTTTAAATAAAATTATAAAAGAAAATTTGAAAAATTACTATTTCGACAATATTTGTTAATAAAAATGCCAACAAATAAATAGGCCTCCATTAATCAAAATTAACAATGTATTATTTAAAATTTTGATTAAATATTTTTAAAAAATTTGAGTTTTTTTTATTTTTAATGAAAATTTGATTTTTTAATTATAGTACATTTATTTATTTTTTTTTTATAAATCTTTATGTTATCTGATGAATTCAATTTTGTCTTTCCAAATAGAAATATTAAAAATCGGGCAGGACCGTGTCGGTATTTTTATTTCTGTCAGTGGGAGCCATTTGTAATTTGTCGGATTTACTTTTTGAGGGTATTTAAGCTCCCGTAAGAAAAGGTGTTATCTCTCATTGAAAAGGAGGATTATTGTTTGTAAATTTCATGCCAGTTTAGAGAACATTGAAAATGACCTGATTTTCCATAATTGTTCTAAAAATAACAGAGGAAATTTTTTTTTTCTTTCTTCTTTGATTTTTATCTGATAATTTAAACGAAAAAGCATTAAGGCACGAGCCTTTTCTGTTTGAATAAACATTTAAATTGCTCGTTATTTTTTTTATATATTTATATATATGTATATTTATACATAGTGTAAACAATAACTATTGGGAAATTCAATTTATTTTTATAATTATAATTATTATTAGGAATTATTATTATTATTATTATTATTGTTATTGTTATTGTTATTATTATTATTATTATTATTATTATTAATTTTATTATTATTATTATTTGAAATTGTTTTATTTCAATATTAAAAATTTTCCATATGATGTGAATTTTTCTTTTTTTTTTAATTTCATTTTATTTACACATTATTTTATTTGAAGTTTTAATTTTATTTAATAATAATATATTCGTGGATTTTTTCGTTTGACAAAATATACAAAATTTCAATAAAATAAAAAGTGAATCGCTAGAGTTATGGTAAAAATGAAAAAAATTCAGAAAAGAGAAATTTTATTTCATTTACTTCTTTTTTTTTTTTTGCAATAAAATAATTTCCACATAGGGTCGACATTTTTTTCTATAGAAATTTTTGTTTTATTTCAAGTCAGGTGGTTTTTATTTATTTATTTTTAATTTTTTTTTTTTTTTTGTGAAAAATTGAGAGTCATTCGCGTATATATATAATATATTTTATTTTTTGGCTATTTATTTTAGATGATATCAGGAATATATATAAAAGACTATTGTAGTAATAGTATTGTACTTATTGAGCCATTGTATTATCATTAAAGGTAGATTATTAGAGACTAATATGTTTTGAAGACTTCTGGGGTATTTCCCATAGGCGTCATCATGTCGATGTTATTGTAAGATATTTGAAAAAAAAAAAAATTTTTGCTAAAAAGATTAATTTTGATGAATTATTATGCAAAACTTACGTTTTGTAAATTTTTTTTTACATTTTTTAAAAAAAGTATAATTAATATTTTTGTAAATTAATTTATTTTATTTTTTATTATTTTACTATTGCGTTTATTATTTTACAAAAGATTTTTATTTATTAATATTATTTAAGTAATTATTATTAATTAGTATTAATTTTCAATATTTTAAAAATTTAATTTTTTGCAAAATTTTTTTGTTGCAAAAATATAATTTTATTTTTTAATTATCAAACAAGTAATTTATAATAGATTTTTTTAAATATAATTTCAAAGGTAATTTAAACGTTAGGATTTTTAAAATTATTTTTATACCTGCGTATCTCGAGCTATATACATATATATTGTTTATACATTAAAGTACAAATTGAGTACAAAGTTATTAAATTTAGAATAATAGTCCCAAGGATAATCAGTTGCAATTCGCGTATTGATCAGTTTGGACATAAATTTAAATTTTTTAATTTTAAAAACCAAAATTTAGCTCATTTTTTATTTTACGTTTTTATAAATTTTTAAATGAATATATATCTCGCTTCGGTAGTGTTCGAATATGTTTTAATTCGCTATATATCAAAGAAGAAAATCACGAGTGTTTTAAACAATTTTTCGGTATTTTAGTAAAAAAATTTTTTTTTTAATTTCGTAAGTATTTTAAAAATTTTTTCTAAATTATTTTCAAAACGTGTTTTCGGGAGTGTTTGAAATTACATTTTAAAATCAAAGATTTATTTGTCTAAAGTATTTGATACATCGATTACAGGCTATTATATAAGGTTAGTAAAAATTTATGTAATTTGTCTCCGAGCCTAATAAATATTTATTTGATTCAAATAAATTGATTTAAATAAAAAATTTTTATTATTACTTCAAATAAATAGGCTGTGAGACGTTTATTTAACTCAAATATATTATATTTGGTTCAAATAAAACATTTCTCAGGGTGTAGAAAAAAAAGGGGCAAAACAGCCAACCGGGGTAAAAAGGTACATATTTCTTATTTTTATAAACACCCTTTACCCTCCTTTCGATATTTTACAAATAATTCTTAATAAATACTGGATTAAAATTTTAAAAAATGAAGAACATTAATTATTGGGGTGGGGGATAAGGAAATAAAATCCGAAAGTAGATCAGAAATAAAAAATTTCTCTCTCTCTCTCTCTCTCTCGAATCTGAAAGGAGAAACTGAAAATCAACAATATGACCGTCTCTATCGAAATTATCAGCACTTTATCCCCTTAACTTGAGTTAAGTGGTTGAGATGAAAAAGAGAGAGGGAAATGGATGCTGGGGTAGGAGAGAATGGAACTAGGAAAGAGGAAGAGACACCCGGATTTACGCGGAAGGGCAAAATACTCCCCGCCCAGACCTCATTCAACCCCCGTGTATAGGGAGGCTTGCGTGAAAATCACGATAGCTCATTGGCCATGGGGCTAATATGGCGGTGTTAGGGGTAGAAAGGTGGGGCGAATGTATACGATATTTAGGGCTGGATTCATGTCCGTCGGGTAGTTGGTGGTGCGCCGTCGATTGACGCATTTTGTCCCGGTTATATTACTCGGTTCTTGTAATATTATACCAACCCTCTAAGTAAACGCATCATCCCCCCACTAAAAAACAAAACGCGCCAAAATTCAACTTTGTACTATCGCATAAAATAGTAAATATATAATTTTAAAAAAATATATATATTTTTCCCCTTTTATCATGATTTTACAATATAAGTGATTTTCTTTGGATATATATTTTTGTGGTGATTTGTTTTTCTTCTCCATTTTTTCCGGTAGTGACAAAATTGTTTTTTTTTTCGTTTTTTTAAAAATTGTGAAAAGCAATTTTTTTTTTTTGCTTTATTTGTTATAAATCTATAGAAACTGAGGAGGAGTTTCTAAATTTTATTTTTTTTTTTTGGAGAAAATGGCACAGACTTATAATCAAAAAAGGAACGTCTACAGTATTGACCAAATTTTGGGGCATGGTAAAAGTGAAGGTATGTTGAAAACTTTTTTATTTATTTGTTTGTTTTTTTTTTTTTAATTGACAAATTCGTCTATTAATTTTGGAAAAATTTTCAAAATTTCTTATTTAAAAAAAATTTTGTTTTGTTTTCGTTGATTTTTTGGTACTTTTTGGATAAATGAATTTTGCCGTATAAATAAATTTATTGAATTTGAATAAATTTTAACCAAGGTTAGTGTTAAAAAAAAACATGTATCGAAATTGTAAATTAGTAAATAATTTTTTTCTTAACAAATTTCAAATTTTTTTTTTTTTTTTATGAACATTTTTTCCATTAAATAATAATAATTAAAATTATTTACTGTATTTTATACAAAGTTGAATACTAAAAATTTTTTTTTTCAAAAAAACGAGGATAAAACTTTTACATATTTCTTTATTTCTTGCAACTTTTACTGAGAGTGTTTATTAAACTAAAATTCGAGTTTTCTGAGTCAATATTTTGATTAAATATATATATGTACTTTATGTACAAAATTATTGTTGTTATTAAAAAAAAATAATTTTTATATAAAGTTAAATATAATTTTAATTTTTAAAACCTTGGGATAATTTAAAAAATCAAAAATAGTAGGGGAGACCGAGGAGGAAAGTAACAGAGGAGGAAAGTAACAAAGCTTATAACTTTTAAACAAATTATCGGATAGACATGGTTCAAACATATTTTTAGTCGGCACTGTTCCCCCTTCCTCCTCCATAGTGTGTCCGAGCCTGACAGGAAAGGTTAGGTCTGATTCCGGTGTGACGTGCAGACACGAAGCATTATAAGGAGCACTCACTCCACTTTAGCAGATGGCCACAGTTTCGCCAAATCAATTAGAGAAATGTCCCATAACGATTAGGACGCCTCTACAGGAAAAGCTATGTACTTTATAGTTTTTCACAATATGTCTGCGCCTAATATCGTCTGCTACTGCTCGTAAATAAAAACTGTTGACTTTGTGAAGTGATGATTTTTATTGAGTTTAATATGATAAATAAATGAAATAAATAAATAAAAAAGTGCACATATAAAAAAATAACAATTTGTGGAAAGAATTTTGTGAGAACATAAACGTGATAAGTTGAAATTGATTTATGTCTTATTTTTATGTGTTTTCCATTACTTGTCAAGATTAAATAAAAGTGTATATTCTGCAATTTATGAATTTTGTTTAAATTTATAGATTTCCATGTGCATAAAAAAATTATTTATATAATTTACATTTTTACATCTCATGTATTTATAAAAATTCTATTACAATTTTTAGGTTATATCACCATCTGTCACCCATCTGTACACAGAAAATAATGGAAAATTCGATGAATATAGTTTGTCTATTCAAATATTTACAAAACAACTTGTTTAAACTAATCAAAATTAAATTTCAAAACCGGCCCGTACTAAATACTGCTGCTGAATACAGTGTAAACAAACATTCAAGCATAGCAGACGATAAAATCACGTGACCTGTAGTAATTAATTTTCCCGCTAGGGTTGTTAGTATCGTTATGGGACACTTCATTAATTGAATCGGAAAAACATGTGACCAGAATTTTCCGAAACGGCCAATAGAGTGAGTGCTCCTTATAATACTTCGTGCGTGCAGAAAAAACCTCAAAAGTAAGTTTTCGTTCAAATTTTCAAAGTCTCGTATTTCTTTAATTTTATTGTTTTTCAAAATGTGCCTTTCGTTATTTTATAGCCTTATTATCTGTCTTTAAGTTGTGCTTAAACAAACAATTTAACATTTGTGTAGTTTTAACTTTTTTGTTGACATACAAGAAAAAAGCGACCGAGGAGGAAAGTAACACGCTACTTTTCTCCTGTTGTCGATATTGTCCATGTTTTAACTAATGATTGAAGCAAATCGTATTTAATTTTACGAATAACAGAGATTTATTTAAGAAAAACCTGTGATCTAGGTAAGCATAAAATATCTTTAAGAAAAAAAATGAGCTAAATTCATAAAATGTTCGAAATATGTGCTAAATATGTCCCAAATATGTGCCAAATAAGTATAAAGTGTACTTAAGCTTTTATGTGTTCCTAATAAAAATATTTCTAATTAATAATAGTCATTAGTCTAAAGAATTTTACATAATTTTATACTGTTACTTTCCTCCTCGGGGGTCAGGAGGAAAGTAACAGATGAAGAGCTTGCGTAAAAGTTATACTGTGAACTGTCAATTTATTATAAATGTTTAATTCAAATTTTATTTAAAAGGTGAATGTCCAAGCTTTCATTTAATATATTGGACAAATTTATCAGACAAATATTTTTAATTCTAGCATAAAAAAACTGATTTTTGTTACTTTCCTCCTCGGTCTCCCCTACCTAAAATTAACAAAGTAAAATAAAATACAATAAAAAGTTGTTAAAATTATTGTTAAAGAAAATTTCTGCGAAAAAAGCATTTTTTTTTCTTCTTCTATATTTATAACAAATAATAATTCTGAGAAAAAGCAGGGAAAGAAAAAAAAATTATCCCTTTTTGTGCGCGATATATATTTAATTATTGACAGTTGATTTAGTTAACGCGTGTGTAGAATATAAAAAGCAGTAATTAGGTCACAAAAGAATTTGCAAAAGTAAATATTATGTAGAATTATCCCCAGGTAAAAAAAATATATAACTTTTTTAAATAGGAAAAATTTTATTACACCATTACACGTGTTGCGCGCTTCTATATTTATAATATATATGCGAGTTAAAACAAAATTAAAAAAAAAAATTATTTACTCAAAAAATTCCTTCAATTACACTTATTATTTTGTTTCGCGGATTTATAAAAGTTTATACAAAATTAACACATTTAAACATTATGTAAGGAAATTGAAATTCCATTTTCAATAAAATTAATTTTCCTTTATTTTAATGAAGTTTTAGTTTTTGGGAAATTCCGTAATTATAAATATAGTTTTGCGAAACTATTAATTTTTATTATTATTATCATCAATATTATTATTATTATTATTATTATTAATATTATTAATATAAAAAATACAAATGTTTTTATGATATTAATATATCAATATAGAAAAGAAAAATTTGAATTCTAATGAATTTAATAATTACGATGTTTCGTGTATGTCATTTTAATTACTAATTAAGACTAATTATAAGAATTAATTTCATAATTGGAAAATTAATAATTTTGAAAATCTATACAAGTTTTTGTTTGACCGAAGGTTATCGATAGTTTGCTTATTGTTTCAAAATTGTAGAAACTTTGTTATCGCTTTTCTCTGCTTTAGAAAATTATTTTCATTTATATATTTTTTTATATTATATATATTGTACCATAATTATATATATTTCTCATTTGTTTTTTTTTTTTTTTTTTTGTTTAAAAAAAGGAATTATATTTTTTTTCTAATTATTTTAATTTACAGTAATTATTAGAAATAAATAATAATTATATATTTTTTCACACATACATAAAAATTTATCGAGTAATTAAAAAATTCTCACTATTTCTATATATATAAAAAAAAAGAAATTCTTTTTTAGAACAAAAATTATGAAAATTTGTTTTTTGTTTTTTAATAATATAAAAAAATAATTGTTTGTTGTGCTCATATAAAAGTGATATAAATATATATTTAGTGAAATTAGGGTTGATTCGAGAAGCAGGTGTGAGTGTGCAATGTGCACACGTATGTGACGCATGCGCAATTGATTCTCCACGGTAAATAAATTTTTCATTTCAAGCAGCATCATCCCTGGCTTCTTGTACACTCAATAAAAAGCAATAGGGAGGTTGGCATCGAGTGTGCACCCCATTGTGCCCCAACATAAAAACATTAAAATCTCTCCATTCAGCTTGGATTAGCTCTTCGAATGTCCTATGTGTCTATATACCTCCATAATACACACACACACACATATATATATATATTTATATATGTATTACTTTAACTCAATATCATACCCCCATAGATAAAAAACTTTGAAATTTTATTAATTTTTTAATTAACAATTACAAATAAATATAATAATACAATTATAAATAAATTTTTTTTAAACACTTTTTATTGTGAGCAAGAAAATTATTATCTATTATTTTTATTTGTATATTCATTATAATTATATTAATAATTATTTTTAATAATTTTTATTTCTATAATAATTATTTATTTGGTAACCATTCAAAAAAAAAAAATGTTTATCCTTTTATTTTTAAATTTAATTAAATTATTATTAAAATTTGAAAAGAAATTTTAAAGATTAAAAGGAATTTTTTTTTTTTTTTATAAATTCAATGTGTGCGTTAAAGTTGAGAATATCGGTGAGTGTATATAGTGTGTTAGATAAGCCTTTACAAACGCATATGGGTGATGCTAGTTTGAAAGCGGGATTAGCATTATTATGGTACCGGCTCTAAATATCTGTTTAATTAGTTTAAGCATGTATGTCTCAATGAGAAGAGATCGAGCGTAGTTTTCAAGCTCATAAACATAAATTTATATATTTTACGCTTTTTAATTAGAGAAATTATTAAAATTCCGTACAATTTCATAAAAAAAAAATTCTTTTTTCTCTTTAAACAATTTTATATAAATTTTATAAACAAATGTAATTAATAATATAAAAAAAATAATGATTATAATAATCATAATCATATTAATAATATTAATAATAATAATAATAATAATAATAATTAATAATAATAATAAAAATAATTAATAATAATATATAAGGAACTTGAAACCCTCGAAAATATTAATCGAGAGCGAATTTTTTTTTTCATATTTCTATTTAATATTTAAAATACATGTACAGTGTACACTCGATAATTGATCATAATATTATCACAATTATCGAGGGTTTACTGTACCAAAATAAAATTTATTCCACCCTCTAGGAAATTTTTACAAAGTTGTCATGTTTTATCGAGGGATCACTGTAATTAGCAAAAAAAAAAAAAAAAAAAAATTCATAAAAATAGAATAGTTAACAGAAAAAAAAAATTATTTTTTTAAATGAATTTATTGGCTGAAGGTATATCTTTGAACGGTATGCCAGATATATATATATATATATTCCCTTTGGGAATATATGTAAGCTCTTTTTTTTATTTTGATCTTCTAATTACGAGTGTTTAATTCCTTTTTTTTCCTTTTTTTCTTTACTGGGAAAAGAGAATTTTATTTTTTTTTTTAAACGTTGACGTAGAGAAGAAAGGAGAGAAAATGAAAACCTTTCTCTATTACCATTACAGAAAATCGTGCTTTATTCACAAAGAAGAGATTAGGATGCTTTTCAATTAAAGCAATTTTGTTTAAATTCTTGCGCACATTTTTCATTAATAGTGGAGAATTTTTTTTTTTTTTTCATTTCTTCTCTAGAAATGTTATAAAAATATAAAATTTTTTACCTATTCATTTTTAATTAACAATATAATTGTGACGCTCTCTGAAGAAAGGGACATTAGAAGCAAAAAAATTATAAGTTACACAGAAAATTATAAGGTATTAAAATAAGCTGCAACGCTTATTATTTTAATTAAATTTTGCTTATTTTAATACCAAAATGGATTAAAATAAGAAAAATTGAATTAAAATAAAAATAAAACGCTTATTATTTTAATTAAATTTTGCTTATTTTAATACCAAAATGGTATTAAAATAAGAAAAATTGAATTAAAATAATAAGCGTTGCAGTTTATTTTAATGCCTTTTTATTTTCTGCGTGTATCTTTTATAATTTCGATACAGAGGATCAATTTTCAATGGAAATTTTAACTCTTTATTACATTCAAAATATTTAATAAAAAAAAAACTGATTTTATATAAATAAAAAGAAACTTTTAATCAATATACAATTATCGTAAACATAACCTATAATTTGTTTGCTTGTAAGGTCCCTTTTTTCAGAGCGCGTTACATAATTAATTCATTTTGTTGAATATAATAATTAATTTCCACATATTTTTACTGATATATAATTAATATTGACTAAATATACATTTATTACATAATTAATTATGTCTAAGTGAGAAAAAAAAGTATTAAAATTATTTGCAATTTTGTTATTAATAAAAATATTATTTTTTCACATTAAATATTATAATAATAATTTTACGTGTACATAATTTATATTTTATAATATTTTTTATAATATTTTCATAATTTATAAAATATTATAATTATATATTTAAATTCGAAAATAAATCAAAATCTGTAATGCAAAAAAAGAGCGCCCTTTATATATATTGAATAAGGAAAAAGTATTAATTAAAAATCGAACACAACTTTCATATTTCATTTCGCAAATATACATTCATATCTCTACATTATCTGTCAACAAAGAGCAAAACAAAAGAGGAAGAAAAAAAAAGTACAATACACGTGTAGTTTGCTTTAATCGACTCTTCGTCGACAGTCGATAAAGGATTGAAAAGGATAGGGAGAGAGGGGGGGAGGGGTAAAAAGAGAGCCTAGTCTAGGCAGAAGGGATGTTCAAGGAGTTGTTAGGGGTTGAGGGGTGAGAGAAAAAAAGGAGTGGATGGTCAAGGGGCGGGGAGGGGGGGGGGGTGAGCAAAAGAGAGCATAAAAAGTCAAAAAAAAACAGAATAAAATGATTCGCACCAGAAAATATTTGTATAAAAAAATATTTCTCATAATACTCAAATGTTTTGTACATTTACCCCCCTCACCCAACTAATATATATATATATACAGTTTGAAAAATCGACAAAATACTCTTTTTTTTTTTATTCGGCAACAAATGTTGAAAAAATAACAAGTAAAAAAAAAAGATATTTCGAGAATTATTTACTGTTTGGAAAGGGGTGGGGGGGGAAAGGTATAAAAATGTCAGAGGCTTAAAAAGTCGACAATCCGTCGATCAGACGTCATCGATGGACAATATCGTGTATATATATATATATCGGATCGACAAGTATTGGGAGATGCGTCGCGGCTTAAAAAAAATATTTTAAAATTGACCCCGGAGCTCACTCACACACATTTATATATGTATATTTATATATGTATATACCTATTTCGTTTGAAATATAATATTCGAGTATGCACTTAGCGTGAATCTCTTGTCAAATCTCTGCGTCTATTTGCGCGCGTATTAAATGTATACCTCGTTTATTTTCCATATTATATATATATATATATATATATATATGTATATATATTTTTTTTTTGAAAGTGGCATAAGAAGGTTCATTTAGAAACTGGGTTATATTCTCTACTCAAGGAGATCGCTTTTTGCAAGTTCTCTTATATAAGGATCTTTATATAGGATTTAAATCCTATATAATAATCGACTTCCAATTATTATATATATATGTGTGTTTTTAGATTTTGTGGTTCTTTTCCCTTCTTTTTCTCAATATTTCTCAATGATTTTTGTTAATTATTATCATAAAGAGTGATGTAAATACCAAACCCAAAAATTTTTTTTTCAATTTGAAAAGGCTGATTTAAAAAAAAATTATTTGGTTCCGGTACATTTTGATCACTAATCTTAATAATAAAACAATTAATAATAGAAATAAATTTTAAATTAAAAATAAATAAATTTAAATAAATAATACATAAATATTACACAGAAAAAAAAAATTATTTGATTCAAATACTCAATTACTTGTGTATTATCAAATAAATATTTATTTGAACCAAATAATTTTTATTTGAATTAAATAAATTGTATTTGAACCAATAATTTTTGTATTTGAAACAAATACCATTTAATTGACTCAAATAATAATTATTTGATACAAATAAATATTTATTTGATAATAGTCATGTAATCGAGTATTTGAATCAAATAATTTTTTTTTCAGTGTAATAAATAATAAATAAATATTAATAAATAATAAATAAATGATAAATAAATGAAAAAAAAAAATTATGATTACGTTACAGATCATGCAACATCATCAGACGCTGTTGGCGATGGAGGTGAAACAGAACTCGGTCACTTGAGTGATCATCAGATAAATGATTCTTTAAACGACCCATTGGATTTGGAATCCGATAGGCCGAGAAAAGTTCGCCGGTCACGAACTACCTTTACCACTTATCAATTGCATCAATTGGAACGAGCTTTTGAAAAAACACAATATCCAGATGTTTTCACGAGGGAAGAACTTGCCATGAGACTAGATCTCTCCGAGGCAAGAGTTCAGGTAAGAAAAAAAAAAATTAATACAAATCTTTTTCAAAACTATATATATAAAATATTAATCTACTTTGTTAGAAATACGGATAAGAGAAAAAAGAATTTTTTTTTTTCAATTTAGCAATGACGCAAGAACATCCCTCTTTCGTGGTAGTGCTAGTTATATATATATATATATATACATTACTGAATCTGGCTAGCCACTCGACTAATTACAGACTATTGTCCTAAAATTCACTCTTTTCCCCTTTCTTTTTCTTTTTTTTTTGTGGCTCGTAATTTTCAATGTGAACACAAAGGAGGTGATATTTTTTTATGTTGAAAATATTTCATCGAATTGGATAGAATATTTATTATTATTGTTATTATTAAATATAGGTGAGAAAAAAAAATCGTATGATGAATTCAATAATATTATATTTCTATGATATAATGGGGAAATTTGCCAATGGGGACTAAAATTGGTAGCTAGTAATTTGCTGTTTAACTAATTAGTTACTAATTAAATATCTAGTCCTGCTAATTTCAAGTAGTTGATAATAATTTTTGTGAGAGATTAATTATTAATTGCAACTAATTTTTTGTAAATAATACACGCAGAGAAATGATTTATTTGAACCAAATAAAATATATTTGAGTTAAATAAACGTATATTTGTCTCAGAGCCTACTAACTTATTTATTTGGCATAAATAAAAGTTTTATTTGTCAGAAATAAATTTTTATTTGCCTCAAATAAATTTTTTATTTCAATGAAATAAAATATATTTGCAACAAATAAATGAGTTAGTAGGCTCGGAGAGAAATATACCATTTCTCTGAGTGTAGCTTTCAACTATTTTCAATTACTATTTTTAATTAGTAAATTCAATTACTTATTTCAATTACTAATTCCAATTACTAATTCCAATTGCTAATTCCAATTACTAATTTATAGGTATTAGTTACTGTATTTATTTTATCCAATTTGTTATTTTTAAACAATTAAAATGTAGAGAATATATAGTTATCAAAATGAAGTTGAATTACTAATTAAAAAATCTACTAATTAACTACTTAACTACACTCAGAGAAATGGTATATTTGTCTCCGAGCCTACTAACTCATTTATTTGTTGCAAATATATTTTATTTCATTGAAATAAAAAATTTATTTGAGCCAAAGAAAAATTTATTTCTGACAAATAAAATTTTTATTTACGCCAAATAAATAAGTTAGTAGGCTCTGAGACTAATATACGTTTATTTAACTCAAATATATTTTATTTGGTTCAAATAAATCATTTCTCTGGGTGTAATTTTAGCTATTAAATAAATACCCACTCATGCTAATTTCAAATAGTTAATAACAGTTTTTGTAAGAGATTAATTATTAGTTTGCAACTTATTTTTTATAAATAATTGTTTTAAACTAATTTTATAAAATACTAATTTCAATTACTAATTTAATTACTAATTCAATTACTAACTAAATTACTAATTCAATTACTTATACTAAATTACTAATTCAGTTACTAATTAAAACAATTATTGAAACAATCATTGAAGCAATCAATTAAAAGTCGTTAAATTATCCAAATAATAATTTTTTTCTCACCTATTTTTAATTCTAAAAATAAAAAAACCAAACTGCCTATAATATAAAAAGAAAAAAATTATAAAGAAAATATCTATATATGTGAAAAAGTAAATGAGATAAACCGCATTATATTTTATATAATAAAAGATAAATTGAATATCCAGGGTATTATATGCGAGAAAGAGAGAGAGTGACTTTTCTATCGTTGGAAAATTGGTTACTCGATTAGCGTAACTATCTGACACCCTTGCGTGAGGTGGTGTAAAGCGAGTTGTGTGTGCGGATGGAGGCGAAAGGGACCATGGGTTAGCGAATGAGAAAGGGAGGAAGAGGGGGGGGGGGTGAAACAACCTATACGTGGCACCATAGGGAGCACAGAGAAAGGGTGCCCAAAAGGGAAGGGGTGAAATGGGGGGGGGGTAGGGTGTGAGGGAAGGCAGTAGTAGCAACAGCATCAGAGAGAAGCATCAGTTGAAAAGAGACAGAGAGCATTCCGATTGGCCCATTGTGGTACAGCCAAGCGACAATGCCGGCAATTGGCCGTCGCTCGACAAAACCGCTAAATGATCCGCCAGGCGCAGTGGTGCCACGGCCACTTTATTTCAATCTAGGAAATCCTGCCTACCAATTTCAGATGCGAAATTACGCCATTTTTCGACATTAACGGACGGCGATCGATCGCATACTCTGTTGTATTCACCAGATATTAATGGACGGCTTTCCGGGACAATTTTCCATTTCTCTCTATCTCTCTCTCTCTTTTATATACATATACCTTTCCCCCTCTCTTTTTACTTAACGCCTTTTTTTTTGAATGAGAGTTTCGGAAATCACCCTTTCGTTTAACTATATCAAAAAAAGTTTTTTTCACTTGTACGATTTAGAGAGAAATTTGAGATACACAAGAACCTCGATAAGTGAAACATACGAGAATTTGATTGGAAAAATTTTTTGATTATAAATACAGTTATATGTTAGGCAGTAATAATTGGAATTTGTAAGATACACTGAACCCTCGTTAAACGAACACTAATTAAGAAATATGCGTTAAATATATTTAACGTAATAAATATTTATATGCAATACACTAAAACCTCGATAAATAGGCCAATTAAAATGGTTAATAAAGTAATACACAAAAACCTCGATAAATGAACATCTTGCAAGTACTATTTAAACATTTTTAAGATACATGAATCCCTCGTTAAATGAAGAAAGAGTTTTTGTAACTTCTTTATATTAATAAATAAATTTATTAGATACAGTAATCCCTCAATAATTATAGATTATAGTCCATCTCAATTCTCGCAATTAACAAATTAATTATGATATTTATGTGAGATAATGGAAAGGTTTAAGAATCTAATTACGTATAATTTAATTCTCTGTACTATATATATCTTCTTTAATGAAAATAGAAGCTAGAACTATATATATATATATATATATATATATATATATATGTAACTGTCTGATTGAAACTCTAATGCAGTTCAACTCGTTAAAATCGTGAGGGTGATTTACGAATCCTTCAACATGAGAAGAAGCATTCAGAAACGATTAAATAATTAAAAGCAATTAAGCAATTAAATCTTACTGGTGCGTCGACGAGTCAATGGAAAATATATATATCTAACAGCTTTATTCTGTATATCGCGTTTATGTATCATTTTCATCATCTCTTCTCTTTTATATGAGAAAATTTAATCGTATTTTGAATTATTTTGACATGTGTGTTACATGTATATACTCTACCGAAAATTTGCCAAAATTTATACTACTGGCGCGGTAATGGTATATCAGTAGTGAATTTTTCATAAGGTATTATAACATATTATTAAATTATGTAATCGATCACTTATCGAGGGTTTACTGTATATAAATATATATAAAAGGTTTTTTTGTTGTTTCAAAATTATTAATAACAAAATATAAAATTCGATTTAAAATTGATTATAGATTATATATTTATTAACGAAAGTTTGACGCAGAAATGAATTTTTGAACCGTGAAAAAAAGTCAAGGAAACAAAGTTCAATGCGGTAACTGAAATTTTTCCGCGTGAAGATTTTCAAATCAAATTTAAATGTTCTTTTTCTTTTGACTTTGGTGTGTCGCACCCTCTTTTCTCGCATATATACGTCAATGTGGTTCCAATGAAAGGCAATGAATTCCTTAATGGACAATAGATCTCAATGTAAAATGTTGCAAAAGGTGGGAGGGGGGGGGGTTCTATATATATATATATATATATATATATACGATTGCACGCCAAAAACCAGGAACAACTCAACTGGAAAGCGAAAGCATTTATATGGCTATATAACGGGACCCGCGGAGAGTTGTTCAGGGGGATGTTCTCTCTCTCTCTCTCTCTCTCTGCACAGGGGTTGCTGCCACTCAAGCTCCAGAGGAAATCAGGATAATTGTTAACAATTAGCTTAATCAGCCTCGAGAGCAAGCTTTTGTTAGGTGACTCGCTGATAGAAGCGCCCGAGAGGAGAGAAAGAGGAGGGTATCTTGCTACTCTTTCCCGAACATTATCCATGATTTCGCCTACGTTTACCTATATATATAAAGTTCATCATTTTTTCATTTTTTTTTCGCGAAAAAATTAAATTTTTTTAAAGGAGAAAAATTTTTTACTCCACTATTTACTTACTCTCTAAATCTGAATTAGTAAAAATGTTTACTAATTTGAATTAGTGACTCACTTTTTGCTTCTGAATTAGTTAAATTTTACTAATTGTTAGTAAAAGTTACTAATAATTAGTAAAATTTTACTAATTCAGAAGCAAAAAGTGAGTCACTAATTCAAATTAGTAAACATTTTTACTAATTCAGATTTAGAGAGTAAATAAAGTAATATACTATTATATTGTTATAAAAATAATAATAATAAATAAATAAACGAATAACAAAACTAATTTAGAAATGCCAGTAGTCTATTTTTTATAATAAATAAAATTTTTTTTAAAAAAGAGAAAATTTAAAAAATAAAAAAACCGTTTCCTACTGCGTTACTTTTTTAAAAAATTTTTCTTTTTTTTTGTATCTGTATAATAATAGGAAAAAAAAATTGTTTATGGTTACAGGTCTGGTTTCAAAATAGACGAGCAAAGTGGCGCAAAAGAGAAAAAGCACTTGGCAGAGACAGCAACTTCATGCACGTGGAACCAGGTGGTGAGTAATTAACGATCCTGCAACAATTAGTAGCATATACTAGCCCTCGCTAATACGTATATATATATATATATATATATATATATATATATATATATATATATATATATATATATATATATATATAGTATCATTGATAAAGGTATAGAGGGACACACACCATGAATTTGCCCTGTGGCATTGCCTCAACTCGTCCAACAAGAAACAGTTACCGAGGGGTAGATGCAATCTGCGACAATTATGTCTAATTTCACTGTCGCTGCAAACATCGCTCGGGAGAATCTGATCTATACGATATACATATGTATATATTTTGTATATAACCAATGAGGGAGAAGGAGCTAAAATACATTTTTCATTAATGTTTTTAACGCGTGAGGTGTGCTAATGCACGCGCGCGTGTATGTTTGTGTGAGTGTGTGTAGGAAACACAGAAAAAAACCCCAATTGCCTTATGTAGAAATTATATTTTATTTATTACATTTCTTTTTTTTGATACCGAAATTGAGATTAGTGTCAACGAATTAAAAAAAATAAGGAACAAATAATTGACAGTGTTTTTTTTTTGTTCTATCGTTGTGATCATCAATCTGATAAATTATGTTATTTTTTCTTTAGGGAAAGGGAAATACGAGTAATTAGGAATTTATTTTAATATTTAGAGAAGGTACAAATGTTTGTTAAGTTTTATTTGGGGTAATTAGAGAATAGCGTATATCATTTTATTGTCATTACATCACTACTATATTATTTATTCTATTTGTATAGTATGTTTTCATTTCTTCGGTTTTAATTTAATCCTCTGAGCAAACACATCTTTTTACGCGCCTCGTAAAAGTCACGAATTAGAAATGCTCCTAAGAAAAGAGTCACGAATTAGAAATGCGCCTAAGAAAAAAGTCACGGAAAAGTCACGAATTAGAAACGCGCCAAAGAAAAGAGTCACGAATTAGAAACACGTCTAAGAAAAAAGTCACGAAAAAGTCACGAATTAGAAATGCGCCTAAGAAAAAAGTCACGAATTAGAAATGCGCCTAAGAAAAAAGTCACGAAAGTCACGAATTAGAAATGCGCATAAGAAAAGTCACGAAAAAGTCACGAATTAGAAATCGCCTAAGAAAAAAGTCACGTATTAGAAATACGCCTAAGAAAGAAGTCACGGAAAAGTCACGAATTAGAAATGCGTCTAAGAAAAAAGTCACGAAAGTCACGAATTAGAAATGCGCATAAGAAAAAGTCACGAAAAAGTCACGAATTAGAAATCGCCTAAGAAAAAGTCACGAAAAAGTCACGAAAAAGTCACGAATTAGAAATCGCCTAAGAAAAAAGTCACGAATTAGAAATGCGCCTAAAAAGTCACGAATTAGAAATGCTCCTAAGAAAAAGTCACAAATTAGAATGCGCCTAAGAAAAAAGTCACGAAAAGTCACGAATTAGAAATCGCCTAAGAAAAAAAGTCACGAATTAGAAACGCGCCTAAGAAAAAAAGTCACGAATTAGAAATGCGCCTAAGAAAAAGTCACGAATTAGAAATGCTCCTAAGAAAAAGTCACCAATTAGAAACTCGCCTAAGAAAAAAAGTCACGAATTAGAAACGCGCCAAAGAAAAAAGTCACGAATTAGAAATGCTTCTAAGAAAAAAGGTTATGAATTAGAAACGCACCTCAGAAAAAAAAGTCACGAATTAGAAATGCTCCTAGGAAAAAGTCACGAATTAGAAACTCGCCTAAGAAAAAAGTCACGAATTAGAAATACTGCTAAGAGATAATGACTTACGATTTGGTCACTGATAACTTAGGATTCAGTTATGATTTACGATTTGGTCACGAATATTTGAGTGACTAATGATTTACGATTTGTTCACTGATGGCTCACAAATAAGTCAGTCGTAAATTCTTACGAATGAGTTACGAATAACTAATAATTAATCCTATCAAAATTGTAATTATTAATTTAAAATACCAAAATTGTACTTATTAGTAATTTAAATATTAAAAATTTTGAAACTTATGAGGTGTTTTCTTATTGTGTTGTATCGCTCCACTGTAGGTGTTAATTAGCGATACGCTATATCATAAATTTTTTGTGAATGTCTGGTTAAAATAATACTTTTCTCTGAGTGAATGAAAATAAAAAATTAAATAATTAAAAAAAAATTATAAAAATAAAAATTGAATTTGTCATTTTGTTAAAAACAATTTGTTTTTTCTGTTAAAGGTGGATGGTGTCCGACGGATGCTGTTGGTCCTGGTACACCAACGGCACCTGCAGCAGCTGCATTTCCATGGTTTATGCCAACAATGTTTCCACCAAGTGTATGGCCAAATAGTACACCAAAATTACCACCCCTTCACGCATTTCTGTCACAGTATATGTTACCACAAAATCTTGCCACATTAAGTTCAGTTCTTCCTGTGATGGGTCTAAGTCCACCTTCATCTCTAAATCACAATAATATTGACACACGTTCCCTTAGTGCACAATTGCATTCGCACCCTCTTAATCTTGGTGTTCAAAGTATCGCACAAAATCTCAGCTCAAAACATGACAGGGATGAAGATTCTGGCTCGTCAGATGACGAAATTAGGAGGCAAAGTGCTGAAATTCTACGAGTTAAGGCTGAGGAAGTATTACGCAAGGTCGAGAATTAATTAGGATTTATTCAATTAGTTTCTATAAGAAAAAGAAAGAGAGATATGTGTAAAAAAATCTTTTCCTTCTCATTATTTATTCTGAAGAATTAAAATTTAGCCATTTGATCAAGGAAATTTTTATTTTTTAATACTGAAATTGTTTTTTAATTTAATTTTTATATTTTTTTTTTAATTGTGAAAATTAAATTAATTTTTATTCAAATTTTTTAACTTTATATTTTTTTTTGTTTTAATTTATGAAAAAATCATTGCCATGTGATGTGAATTTTGTACATATATTGTAACCATATATAGTAAGTGATAATTTGAAAGAGATTAAATAATTCATATTTTACTGTGAAGTATTTTACGAATTGAGTATTGAAAATTAGTCAATATTTGTATTTTAAATAGATGAATTTTAATTATAATTTCCTTTTTTACAATATTATATCTGGAGAAATAATTTTTTATCCGAACTAAATATTTATTTATTTTTTAAATATATTTCTCTCAAAGAAAAATATATAACTACTGATTTGAATTAAATATTTATTTACCTCTAAAACAATTATATTTTTCCTCTGGGTGTATCTAAGAGAAACTATTAAAATTAATTTTAGTTTAATTAAAAAAAAATTTATTTACTTTTATTTGGAATAAATAGTAATATATTTTTTCATATTTGCTTTAAATTGTAACAAAAATATAATAAATAGCGTAAAACATTTCAGTAAAATGAATTAATTAATTTCTTTCACCTTGTGTAAATAATATGTAAATCACTTGATAATATATGGAGTGAGACATTTTCTATTGCCAGAATTATATAGGTTTCAGCAAAAAAAAAAAAAATCATTAATTCATTTTTCATGTATTATGCAAAATCAATAGTAATTTTTTCCCGTAACTCAAGTTACAGTTATCTCTCGATAATAAACGTTTGTTTATGGTTTGAAACCTTAAAAAAATAATATATATTTATAATAATCATTGTAAATATTATTATAAATATTATACATAATAATTATTTAATACTCAGGGATCAGGAGAAAAACAGTGGACCCTCGATTATTGTCATCAAGATAATTATAAAAAATTTACTGTAATTCTCGCATTGAGGTTTTTTTCTCGTTTAAATTAACAAAAAAAAATTTTAATTTTCATTAACAAACAAAAGTAAAGAAGAAAACTTCAATTTTTTGGGTCGGAGTACTGACTGAGGGTTTACTATATTATAGAAAAATTAATTAACGTTCAAACCACCCAAACACTTGATTCATATACTCATTCTCTTAGAAAGGAAGAAAAACAAAAAAAAAAAATTAGTTTATATTTTAAAAAAAGTGCAATAACAAATATTTATTAATTTTCGAGCGACAGACTGATGTTTGAAGTACTTCGATATTAAAAAAAAAAAATTAAAAAATTACAGACTGCTGGCAGTCTTTTTCTTTCTTTTTATTTTTTCTTAATATGTAAAAATATTTTTTATTTATTAGTTATTACTATACATATATATATATATATATATCTTAAGTGTGATAAAATCATAATATGTTAAATTTCATTTCATTACAGAATACTTTTCTTACAATTCAGGCGTGAAAAGATGTGAAAAAAAGACTTAAAAAGAAAAAAAAATTTCTATAGAAAAAAAGGACATACATGCAAGGTTACCCACAAAATTGGATAATATAGAAATTAAATTATTTATACGAAACAAATAATTCAAAGCGATATGTAAATTATTTTAGTGAGTATATTATATATATATGAATCGCTTTTATATAGAGTAACTTATTAAAAAAAAAAAATAAAACAAAAAAAAAATTCTTCCAAATTTTTTTTTCTTTTTTTTTTAAATAAAGAAAGTTCTCGATTTTGTAAATTATATGTAAATTATATTCATCATGTGTATGTTTATGTAAATATAGATAATTCATTGTAATATTAAGTGAAAAATATATGAAACTAAATATTAATACACTCAATTGGTCTTGTTAATTAATTTTTTTATATAATTTTACTCCATACCTAATTCCATTTTTATTTTTAATGAATGAATTAGAATTAGAATGAATTAGAAAATTATATTCCCAATCAATAAATTATAGGAGTTATTTATATTATTATTACTATAACTATAATTTATTTTGTTATTTATTTTATTATTATTATTATTATTATTATTATATTATTTAAATATTTGTTTTTATGAAAAAAATATAATAAATAATCATGTAATTGATATATATTTTTTGATAAATAACGCAATGGTATTGAAGAGGAAAATTCATTAATCAAATGACGATTTGAATGAGACATCCGCGAGGAGTCACGTCACCAATTTGATTGTGACAATTTCCTGAATTCAGGATCAACCGGAAAAGGAATTGGACGCATTTCCCACGAGGTACATGCGTTGTATATATATAAATATACGCTGTTGGCCCTTTTCGCATCAACAATTGATCGCGCAAGCTTCACACTATAATAATAATAAATATGTACGTGCATTTATTATATCCATTCGACTCAAACGTTAATAATACCAGGATATAGCACGCACAACTGCAATTACAATTCCACCAATTTATCAGAAATTTAACCTGTACGAAGGACAAATTTTCACCCATAATACCCGCATATATATTCAGAATTCACGTAATTTATTTTCATTATTATTATTATTATTATTACACAGATATATATGTGTGTTTTATTGTCAAATTAATAACATTTGATATTATTATTAAGACTTGTTAAATTATTACCTATATTGTATTATTTATAATATTATATATAATACAGTGGAACCCACGTATACCGGATTTGAAGGTAACGAAAAAAATCCGATGTTAGCGGGAATGCGAATTATGCGGGTCCAATATACGTGGGTTTCATTGTATTAAATTAAGTTTTAATTTTTAAAAATTGATGGCAAAACAGTTTATTTTTCGAAAAATGAAAATATAAAAAAAATTACCGACACAGAAATCTACCTTACCGTCAGTCGGTAAGGTAGATTTCTGTGTCGGTAATTTTTTTTATATTTTCATTTTTAATATTAAATTTAATTAGCAATTTAATTTAATTAACAGTTTTTAATAATTTAATTTTTTTTAAACAACAATTTTTTAATTAAAAAAAAATGAAACAAATAATATCGAGATTAGAATTTTTTTTTTGAAGGGGAATAATAAAAGAACAAGTTTTTGCGAAAAAGTATATAAATGGTAAATGTGAAAGATACTTGGGAGATTTGAGAGTCACTGTTCGAGTTCGCGACTGCTACGGAGGACAATTAGATTAAAAGCAGCGCCTCTCGCGGCGGCTTGAGATCCATTAGTGCCCATTGTACCACCCCATTTGTACCCGTTATCACTCCCCCCCGTCTCGTTCCCGAACAGCCTCATCTCGAAGCCAGGTACTTATTCTCAATAGTAATATGCTCACTTCATACTTCCACCCACACCACTACTACAGCTTCTCTCTCTCTCTCTCTCTCTCTCTCTCTCTCTCTCTCTCTCTCTCTCTCTCTCTGCACCCGTTTTCTCTCATCCACCCTATCCTAAAGTTACCCCTTTCTCTCTCTTCCTCTCTCTTGTAATCTTTCTCAAGCCACCTTACACATACCTGTCTGTATGTGCCGCCTTCAATGAAAAGATTTCTCCTCACAGATTGCGCTTGAAAATCACTGTGTTGATACGTTAATAGTACCAGCGTTAATGACACCGTGAATGACTCCAATTAGTCCATCTGCGCCTCATCCTTAACGGAAGATTACACTCTCTGCACTTGCATCGGCCAATCTTGTCATTTCGAACTATTAAAGTGTCTGATATTACTTTTTTTCAAATTCTCCCCCCCCCATAAATTTTATATTTGATTCGACACAGTTTTTTTTTAAACTATACAGTTTTATTACCACACAATTTATATTGAAATTTTAATTATATTATATTGAAATTTTAATTGTATATAATTATATATACTTAATTAATTGATAATAATGAATAAACCTTATAAATATTGAAAAATTACATAGTAGAATTTTACTTTGATAAAATTTTTTCATACCCAGGGAGAATCGAACCAGAGACTCCTCGGGTTCTACACTATATATTGTAAGCGCCTCAACGACTGCGGCTATCGACAACTTTTTAATTTCATAATAGTAACTAATAATAAACTTAATGAATATGAAATAATAATTAACTGATAATAATAATAATAATAATAATAATAATAATATTTAATAATAATAATAATAATTTACATAAATATTAAATAATAATAATAAAAAAAAGATAATTTAAAGGTGAAATTAATTGATGGAAATAATTTTAACGACTAAAGAAATGTGATGGAATTTTATTTTCTATATATATAACAAAAGGTGCAGTGGATAAGGAAGTTGTACCGGATCTTTGAGAACCTTTATTGTTCACACGTTGTGAAGCTGAGTGTATAGTTATGCTTAAAAATTAGTGTTATTATGATATTGCATTTAGTTCCATATGTGGAAGGTACACACTTCATTTAGACCATTAGGAAGCATCTAGCCATTCAAGTATAAAGCAACCCTCATGCACCAAAAACGTGTCTTTTTACACCCCACAAAAGAAAACTATACAACCCACTAATTTGTGGATTTAATCAGCTTTAGAGTTTAAATCGCATTTTTTTTTTAATATGCTTTTTTTATTTGAGCCACATTCGAACTTTACACACCTGTGACATTTTTTTTTAATTATTTGCTTAATGATTTAATTTTTTTTTTAATAATTAATATCTATATTGTCAATTTTTATCTGCATTTAGAAAATTATAAAATATTTTACCATAGTTAAAATAACTGTAAAATACAACGGTTTTATTATTTTTTACAAAAAAAAAAAAAAACAAATAATGAATTGACGATTTAAAAGCTATAACAGGCATGTGAATTTTACTCTATATTTTATACATATATATGGACTCCAACAGTGTAACCTGCAAGCTTTACTGCACCTTTTATTATATAAATGAACAAAATTTTATTTCAAAAAAAAAATCGATCGTTTTGAAAAAGGTTTCCCATCGCGACAGGGTGCCAAAGGTAAAAGAAAAAAATACCCCCGAGGAACTTATTTAACCAAAATTCGAATCTTTTTTTACAATTAATATTATTTAAAAGGCGGAAAAGAACTTTATTATAGTTTAAATACAATTTTCAAACTCGATTGGACATGAATACTCTTTTTTTTTATTCTATCGAAAAAAGTTTGGATACTTTTATTTAATATTTTTAAAAAAATTTTCTTAGTAGAAAAACAAAATTGTAAATTTAAAAAATATTTCACTAACCTTAAGACTATAATCGTTGTATATATCAAATATACTTCGGACGATGAAATCTTCCACAGACGCGATTTAAAATAATTTCAAACTACGTTTAAAAAAAATAATTAATACTTTTTTTAAAAAAGATTTAAGCGATCGTGTATTTAAAAATTTCGAATCCTCCTGAAGCTAAATTTTGAATTTTAATATACAAAATCATGTCTAAACAGGTTGATGCAAGAATTGGGACTAATGAAAGTTTATTATCCTTAAGACTGTTATTTTATATACCTATGTTGTAATTAAATTTTATTATCCTTGGGTCTGTTATTATATCTGCAGTTTTATAACTTTATACTTAATTTGTACTTTAATGTAAACAATACAGCTCGCGAGATGCGCAGGTATAAAAATAATTTCAAAATCGAAACATTTAACTTGCAAAAGTTTTGTTTAATAAAAATTGTGTTCAATAAAAATTCCGTCTAAATAGAAATTATTCCCGTGTAGAAATTTTGAAAAGGGCCCACTTCGAGAAGCTGCGAATTTATATATGAAATAGAAAAACCCGATCGGGGCCACAGAAAAAGCCATATTTCAGTCCGATCGGGGCCTGGTTTGGCCCCAGTCGGGTTCCATGTTTCAACCAAGACAGAGCCAGGTTGGCGAATTTCTGCACGGGATGCGTCTAAGAAACAAAGTCACGAATTAAAAATGCACCTAAGAAAAAGTCACGAATTAGAAATTCTAAGAAAAAAGTTACAAATTAGAAACGCGCCTAAGAAAAAAAGTAACGAATTAGAAATGCGTTTAAGAAACAAAGTCACGAATTAGA